CCCCCCACTTTTTTTTTTTTTTTTTGGAAAACAATGACATTCTTTGGGAGGAAAAAATATCAATGATCAGGAGTCTCAAACCAAAATGATCAAAAACCAGCACTGATATACTCAAAATATTTGTTTCACTGCTATTATTTCCTGCTAATCTTCATTTTAGAAGAGGGAAAATGCCTCACCACTCTCACTTCACCAAGCCCTTGAAGATAGAGAACCAGGAGGCTAACACACTAAATCTTGACTCTTCGCCAGCTATTGTCAGAGGTCCCAGAATCTCTCTCGGCAGCAGCTGTCCAGTAGCAAGCAAAATCCAGCCCATGAAGTAATCCTTTATGGTCGTCAAGCTATCAGGGAGGAGGGGGGTATTGACAGAGATTAAAGGAAAAATTAATTTCCTCTCCTATGTAGCCAGCTGAATAGGACCTAAAGAGGACATTATTTGACTGACTTGAAGGGTGAGCAAAGTCAAAATACCTAAAATTACCTCACCATCTCTATCCTCACCCCATTTGCTGTTCTGCTTCAGCTACACAGATGCTTATACCAGACTTCTACCCTTAAATCCCCATCAGCCACCAAATTCTAATCAAAGTCTATCCATTTTACCTTTTAAAAACATTCCAAATTTGTCCCTATTCTTTATTTCTACTGCCTCTACCTTGGCTCAAACCACACTCATCACTTCCTTGATCTAGTACAATATTCATCAGTTAATAGTTATTGAGTTCCAAATATATGCCAGGTATTGTTTTAGGTGAAGAGGATTATGCTATGCCGCTGCCCAAATATGCCACTCTGGCAGAAGAATTATTTTTTTTTTAAGATTTATTTTATTTATGCATATAAGAGTCGGGGTGTAGGCCAAGGTACAAGGTTGGGGGGCTGTGAGAGGACTCACCAGAGGCAGAGTGGGGAGCTGAACAGGCAAATTGACTGAAATACACTGCTGAGGAGAGCAGCAGGCGAGACAGGAGAGGTCCACTGCACCATGTGGGTTAGCTCCCTGGCCAGGGATTGAACTCATGCTGCAGTGACAGCGGATTGCTTCATATTGCTAAGTGAGACTTAACCCCTTGCCCTACCTGGAGGGCCCAGGCTTAAGAATTATTTTGTGCTCACACTATGAGGCAATCTGCAGCCTCTGCAGCATGAGTTTGATCCCCTGCCGGCCAGGGAGCAACCCACATGGCGAAGCAGACCTCTCCGATCTCACCCGGTGCTCCCCTCAGCCGTGTGTTTCAGTCAGTCTGCCTGTTCTGTTCCCTGCTCTGTCTCTGGTGAATCCTCTCACCCACTGCTTCTCTGGCCTGTACCTCAGCTCTTGTATACATAAATAAATAAATCTTTTTTAAAAAAACAACAAATTATTTTGTGCTAAAGGCATTGCACACCTGAAATCCCTATCTGCCTTAAAATAGAACCTCCCAAAAGTACTCATTTGTCATAAGACTTCTCCCAGGGAGCAACAGTAATTTTCCCTTCTGAAAGAGAAGTCAGAAATGCACCCAGACATTATCACAAACTATCACTTCTATTCTTCAAAGAATCCATTTACATTTCCATAAGTTCCCTTTTACCACCCCCTTGTGTTACTCACCTCTGAGTGCCATCCCCATGGGTATTTGTGAGCCACATGATATAAACTGTTTTTCTTTTGTTAATCTGTCTTTTGTCAGTACAATTTATAGGGCTCCAGCTGAAGAACCTAGAAGGGTAGATGGGAAAAGATTGCCCTCTCTTACATAAGTACTGAGGATACAGCATGGAAACAGAAGAGGGCTACACTTTGTGAGAAACATATTTAAGTCTATCTATTGAGTGTATGCTTTGTCTTCCAACTTTTGGAAGAAACCTTTGTATAGAGAACTTGTACTCATGTATATATAAAAAAAACCGTACAGGGAAGATACATGCATTTGTACCTGTATAGGAAAGACAATATGTGATGGAATGATCTGTGAAGAACTGAATAGGGGATACCTTGAATATAGAACGGCCTCTGCTTAGATTTACCAGTTATTTCCAACCAGAAATACAGAAATATGGACCAAGAACATTCAGACTTTCTGCTTTTCCAGTCCAGGTTTTTATATTTTGCTTTTAAATGTTATTTCTTACAATATTTTATGTCCCATGTTATAAGCTATTCCTTATATACCAAAATATAAATGTCTCTGTGTGTGTGTGTGTGTGTGTGTGTGTGTAAAATCACTGTGTTTTTTTGGGAGTTACTGTATCTAACCCTAGAAATAATCTTTTTTTTTTAAAAGATTTTATTATTTAATTATACAAGAACTGGGGTACAGGCCAGATGCGTGGGAGGGTAAGAGGATTCACCAGAGACAGAGCTGGGAACAGAAGAGGCAGAATGACTGAAATACACTACTGAATGGAGCAGTGGGCGAGACAGGAGAGGTCTGCCATACCATGTGGGTTGCTCCGAGGCTGGTGGGGATCGAACCGGCACTGCAGAGCTGAGGACAGCTTCACAGCGCTGCGCTCAACAGCTTGTGCCACTAGGGAGGCCCTAGAAATAATTTTAATTTAGAAAAGGTAAGATCCCTGACAGTGATTAAATAATGTTCTGCTATATTTTTAGCAATGCTTTCAAAGATTTACCACATGTCAAAACTTAGCAAAGAGTAGATAAGAGTAAAATGAAATTTCCTTTACTTAGTAAAGATAGTATATCAAAATCCTCCAGAAAAAGAATGTATCAATGGAAAACTTATAAGTTATATCCCTTTTCGGTCAGGAACAAGAAAAAGACAACCTATAATACTGATACTATTTTAAAAATTGTTTTATAATACTTATTTTTAACTCCTATTTTGGGGGAAAACTCATGATTATTTTGGTTTTCTTGCTTCACCTTTCACTCAGGATGGTAGTAACTAGATAGTATCATAATACATCTTGTACAATGTATCTTTTTTTGGAAACTATTAGGAAAAAAATATGCCATGGCTTTTAACATACCATTCTTTTTTATTTCTTTTTTGTTTATTTATTTACTCATTTGCATAGAACTAGGGTGTAGGCCAGAGGTGTCAGGGGTGAGAGGATTCATCAAAGACAAAGTGGGGAGCAGAACAGGCAGATTTACTGAAATACGCTACTGAGAGGAGCACTGGGCAAGACAAGAGAGGTCTGCTGCGTCACATGTGTGTTACTTCCCTGACTGGAGATTGAACTCAAGCCATAGCAGTGATAGCATTGAGACGTAACCCCTAAGCCACCAGGGAGGACACCCATTCATTTTTCCTTGTGCTAAAATATATGGAACATAAAATTTACCAATTTAACTATTTTCAAGTGTACAGTTTAGTAACATTAAGTACATTTATATTATTGTATGACAATCACTACTATCCATCTCCAGTACTTTTTCATCATCCCATACTGAAACTCCATACCCATTAAAGAGTAGTTCTCCATTCTCTCCTTCTCCCAGGTCCCAGTAATCACTGCCTACTTTCTGTGTCTACAACTTGACTGTTTTAGGTTATAAGTAGAAACAATGCATCATTTATCCTTTTATATCTGATTGTTTCACTTAGGGTAATGCCTCTAAAATTCATGTTGTGGTATGTATCAGGACTTCATTCCTTTTTATGACTGAATAATATTTCATTGTGTATACATACTACTTTCTTTTGGTGGGCATTTGGATTACTTCTACTTTTGACTATTGTCAATAAAGCTAAAATGAACTGTAGATTACAAGTATCTTTTGTGTCCCTGATTCTAATTCTTTTGAATATATACCTACAAGTGGAATGGCTGGATCATAAGGTAATTTTATGGTTAACTTTTCAAAGAACCCCTAAACTATTTTTGATAGCAGCGATCCCATTTTGCATTCCAACCAGCAATGCACAAGTGTTTTTATTTCTCCACTTTTTTGTTAGTTCATGTCTGCTTTTTTAAAAATAGTCATCAATGAGTATAAAGGAAGCATCTCATAGTTTTGATTTACATTGCTCTACTGACTAGTTATATTGAACATTTTTTGGGTGCTTATTGACCATTTGTATATCTTTGGGGAAAAGTCTATTCAAGTTCTTTACTTTTGAATTAGATTATTTGATTTTTGTTGTTGTGTTGTAGGAATTCTTTATATAGTCTGGATATTAATCTCTATATATGTGATTTGTAAATATTTCCCCCATTTTATCGGTTTTTTACCTTTTTACCATTACAGTGTCCTTTGTTGCACAGAAGTTTTAAAGTCTTGTATAAGTCCAATTTTTGTTGCCTATGCTTTTAGTCAATTCCAGATTCAAAGTCATGAAGTTTTGTCCATGTTTCCTTCCTTTTATAGTTTTGTCCATGTTTCCTTCCTTTTATAGTTTTCACCTGGTCTTTGTTTTATCCTGAGTTAATTTTTATTTGTGTTCTTAGCTTACGGGTCCAATTTTGTTCAGCACCATTCCTTGAAAAAACTGTCCTTTCCCTAATGAATAAAAAATGTACCTTGTTTTAACAATGACAACTAAACACGTGAAGACTGTCTGTGCTGCCTAAATACCTGCAGACTCGATTTTGACCCAAAGACCTTCAATTTGCAGTATATGCCTTAACGTCACTTTCACATTTAAACTTTCCAAATGAGGCAAGAGGAATGAGCAACATGTTGCTTACCATGTTGCATGTACAGGTGATTAACTGATCAAAAAAATGTTACTAAATACTAGGAGTTTCAAGCTGGGTGACACTTATCAATGCGCATTTTATTGTACCACCACGTGAGTAAATGCTTATAAATACGTTAGCCATGAAGAGAACAGGTTAAGAAGCTTAGAGTTTCTTTTTTAATAATGGGGAAACAAACAAGAACCAAAGAAACCCGTAACTAGGTCACTAGTTCAGTGACAGCTGAGCAGCCCACCGACCTATCTCAGCCACAGAGATGCTTTATTGGCAGGAAGGCGGCCCTTCGTGGATTGACGTCACATTGCAGCGCCGGCGGGGAGGCGGGATTTCCGGCTTCGGATCACACGTTAGTGACGGTCTCTGTGCGGACTCGTAGGGCTGCTGCCTGCGTGGTGCGGCGTAAATGCCGGGCTGCAATTCACAGCAGGGTGTCGCGTCCTTTCGGGATTCGTGCGGCGGGAACACCCGCGGGACCCACGGTCAGCACGCCCGGTATGAGCATGGGTTTTTTTTGTCATCTCTCATTGTGTGTGCTGAGCTAGGAAAACTGGGGAGACTTCTTGAGACACACTTAGTGGAGCACGTGCGCCAAGAGGGCTCATAGATAAGAGGAAGCCCAGGGATTTAATAAACAATGAGTAACGAGTAGTGTTTTCAGAATTGTATCTTTGGTCGCTTTTTAAAATTTGGAGCTTGCATTTCTATAATAGCCTAAACCTCTTTACCAGTTGCAAAGACACAACTCAAAGACCTTTGTGAAATCAAGGTTTTGAGGCAGAGGGCACCCAAGGAGTCGACAGTAAATTGTTCTTTAAAAAGAACAATTTTAAACATCCAGGAAAAAGAATAACTATAAGAAAGAAAAAAATCAAAATCAACGAACAACTGAACCAGAGACACTCTTGGGGGGGAGGGGGGGATTGGGGTCAAAATCGGGGTTGCAGTTGTATGGGGAATATAAAAATAAAAAAAAAAGCGGATGAACATGTTTTAAATGTGCGAAGCATTCGAAGACTACTTGACTGATTACTGTGCGCCATATAAGTGCCAGGCATTGAGTTCAATGTTAACAAAATAAACACAGTTCTTGTCCTGATTGCTACCCAGCGGCGCAAGGACAAATAAGCAAGCAGGCAATTACAATACAGTCTTAAAAGTACTATAGGAGGGAGGTAGAGGATGCTATAAAAACTAATAGGAAGAATACTTGGTCTAACATATGAAATGAAAGACAGCTAGAAGTGTAGTAGAAGAGGTAAGCTGAGGTTGATTTCATGACAGATTTTATAGGCCCTTTTGATGAGTTTGAACTTTTAAGCCGGTAGCAATGGGCATTGAAATACACATTGGGAATGATAGGATTACTTTTGCCAGGTTTATACTTGTTCCAGGTGGCTTAGAGTAAATTGGGAGACTGGTAGATACAATAAAGACAATCTGATTGAAGAGAAGTGAATGAGTTCGAGAAGCACTCAGAATGTAAAATGAGCATAATGCAAATGGATTAGATATGATTGAGTGAGAGGGGACAGTAATAAAATGACTTCCAATTTCTGTCTTGATCAACTGTATGGCTAGCAGTGTTCCACCTTAAATGCCAGAAAGAGAAGCAGGTTGGGAAGAGAAAGGAGAAAGACTATTTCAGTCAGTTGCATTTGAGGTATTTTCTAATACATGGTGATTGAAACCATTAATACAATCTTCAATGTTTAGAAAATAGAACTAAGGACAGAACTCAGAGACATACAGTTTAAGAGGGGACAGTGCATCTGAGTAACAGTGCACAATTCAGACAGGTAAAAGACCCAAAGACGTGTAGTCATTAAATGAAAACAAGGGAAATAGGAATTTTTCTTTTAAAGTATTTTATTTGCTAAAACGCTGAGTTCCCTTTCATGTTTCACATCTGGCATATTTTCAAATCTTTAAGCATCATCGTTTTGTGGGCATTCAGACCTTTAGGATAAAATTGTGGAGCTTTACATTTGCTTGCCCTAATTTTGGACATTTTTGTTTGTCAGAAACATTAGCTACAAAATAAAATCTAAACTCAAGAATTATTTGATTGTTTTTAAAGCAGCTGATCTTTATATTTGTTTTGTGAGGATTAGTACAGCAGCTGCTAAGTAGTTTTTACTAGTTACCATCTTCTGTTAACTTTTCTGCCATTTGTCTTCATGTGTTGTTTATGGGAAGGGTTTTTTTTTTTTTCTTAAAGAAAGATTTATTTATTCATGTACACAAGAACCGGGGTACAGGCCAGAGATGCGGGGGATGAGAGGATTCACCAGAGACAGAACGGGGAACAGAACAGGCAGATCGACTGAAATACACTGCTGAGGGGAGCAGCAGGTGAGTCAGGAGAGGTCTGCTGCGCCATGTGGGATGCTCCCTGGCTGGCCGGAGATTGAACCAGCGCCCCGGCGTCTGTGGACAGCCCCATAGGTTGCGTCTCAACCCCCTGCGCCACCAGGGAGGCCCAAGGGTCTTTTTTTTTTTTTTTAAAGATTTATTTATGCACACAAGAACTGGGGTGTAATCCAGAGGTGTTGGGGGGGTAGGGGGTAAAAGGATTCACCAGAGACAGAGTGGGGAGCAGAACAGATCTACTGAAACAGACTGCCAAGGGGAGCAGCAGGCGAGACAGGAGAGATTTGCTGCACCTTGTGGGTTAGCTCCCTGGCCTGGGATCCGACTCCTGCTGCAGTGGCTGGCAGTAGCAGGTAACGCTGTTTTCAACCCCTATGCCACCAGGGAGGCCCTATGTGAAGGATCTTGTATTTGTGTTTGTAGCTAGGCTTGGTATAGCATACAGTATATATACTTAGTATAGAATACAGGATCATGTCCTCAGCTACATGAGTGATACATAACTTTGATCTTATAGTCCCCTAGATACAAATCTAAAAAGGATCTAAATTCATGTCTAAAATAAGAACCCAAGTAAATTTTAAACTTTTTGCCTCGTAAGGTTGTACTGACATTTCATTTTGTTTCAGAAATTGATTGCATTTTGAGGTCTTAAATTTATACTACACAGTTGAGAGGTTTTTAAAATCTTTAACTTTTATTATATTTTCTTTTATAGGGATTTCTTACATGCCTGTTTTCCTCAAAATGAGTGTTAGTATCACCTTTTTAAGACCTTTTGCCAGGTTTTTGGTGCCACTTACCCTTCATGGCAAGAAAAGGATTTCACATTCAACAATTTTGCAGAGATGTCTGACTTCCAAAATACCAAATGTGTCCTCTCCTAATAAGGAAAACACATCACCTCCTGAGCAGCTGGAATTGGATAGGTGGAAAATTACAATGAAGTCTAGTGTTCAAGAAGATGTTTCAACAGTTTCGAGTAGCAAGGATGAAGATCCACTAGCTGCCACCAGGGAATTAATTGAGATGTGGCGATTGCTTGGCAGAGAAGTACCAGAATGCATCAGTGAAGAAGAGCTCAAAACTGTTATGGAATGTGTTTCTAAATCATCAAAAAAAAAATATTTAAAATATTTATATGTGAAGGAAAAAGTGAAAAAAGCTAAGCAAATAAAAAAGCAAATGAAAGCAGAAGCAAATGAAAAAGCAAAAAAAGACAGGCTACCAGAAAGCACTACGGAAGATAAAAAAGACTTTCTATTTCTACGACTCTGGGATAGGAATATGGACATTGCCATGGGCTGGAAGGGTGCTCAGGCCATGCAGTTTGGACAACCTTTGGTTTTTGACATGGCTTATGATGATTATATGAACCCTAAAGAAATGCAGTATACAGTTTCCCAACTTTTAGAGAGTGAAGGATGGAATAGAAGAAATGTTGATCCTTTCCATATTTATTTCTGCAATCTTAAAATAGATGGTTCTTATCATAGAGAGTTAGTTAAACGTTATGGAGAAAAATGGAACAAATTACTTTTAACAGCAACAGAAAAGTCTTATGTGGATATATTTCCAAAAGACAGTATTATATATTTAACTGCAGATTCTCCCAATGTTATGACTTCTTTCAAGCATGACAAAATTTATATAGTAGGATCTTTTGTTGATAAGCATATGCACCCAGGAGCATCCCTAGCCAAGGCAAAACGACTAAAGCTGGCAACACAATGCCTTCCATTAGATAAATATTTACAGTGGGACACTGGCACCAAAAATCTCACCTTAGATCAAATGATACGTATTTTGTTGTGTCTGAAAAACACTGGTAGTTGGGAAGAGGCTCTGAAGTTTGTTCCTAAGAGAAAACATACTGGTTATATGGAAGTTTCTCAGCATTCTTATGAATTTGTCAACAGATTGAAGAAGTCAAAGACACTCAGTTCATTTCCAAAACGTTCTTTAAACAGACGCAAAGAGAGGTGGATTGAATGAGAGTATTTGATAGCTTAACAGATTGAAAAAACAGTTCATTAGTCTATTTCTTTCCAGATGGAATTCATTTGCTCTTTCTTTTAAAGGTAGTTTTTGTAAACTAACTCAAATATTTCTTTTCCCAATGAAGTATCTGTAAAACAATGGAAATCTACTTTGTTATAAGAAGAAACTTTAATCTTAGTAAAAGGAATTATCCAAGTTTGTTGAGCCCAATAAAACAATGATACCACTGGTTCACTGGTTTGACTTTTTTCAATTTTTTTAAAAAGATTTATTTATGCATACGAGAGGGGTACAGGCCAGAGGTACGAAGGGTGAGAGGATTCACCAGAGGCAGAGTGGGGAACAGAACAGGCAGACGGACTGAAATAACACTGCTGAGGAGTAACCGGTGAGACAGGAGAGGTCTGCTGCACCATGTGGGTAGCGCTGTGTCTGGCAGAGGCTGTGGATAGCTTCACAGTGCTGTGCTTTAACCCCTTGTGCCACCAGAGAGGCCCAGTTTGACTTTTTTAAATAAATACTTTGAGTATCAGATTCCATTTTCCTTCTTAAATGTTCTTGAGCCATGTCAAGGTACCCTTTCATAAAAATTGATATAGAGGGCCTCCCCGGTGGCGCAGCGGTTGAGCGCTGGGTTGCGAAGCCACCCGCGGCCTCTGCGGCGCCGGTTCGATCCCCGGCTGCACCCCAGCCACCGGAGGAGGGTCCCACATGGCGTGCAGACCTCTCTTGCCGCCCGCTGCTCCCCCCAGCAGTGTACTTCGGTCCTTCTGTCTGCTCTGCTCCCCGCTCTGGCTCTGGTGAATTCTCTCACCCTTCCATGCTTCTGACTGTACCCAGTGCATGTATAAACAAAACAAACAAATAAATAAAACATGCCTCTATAAAAATAAATTTTTAAAAAAATTGATATAGAAAAGATTTCTAAACTTAAGGCAGTTGTTCACTTGTTAAGTAACATTTGGTACAGCGCTGGGTATGACACTGGTACTAAGGTATATTGTTCAACTGAATCTTGGATAAGCAGAAAATTAAGCCATCCCTTGACATGTCATGGGAGTTGACTATATTATGGAAATTGGGTGGAAAACTGGATACTGTAGAAAAGAGTGAAGCTTAAAAACAGACTAATTTCTGAACTGTTACCTCTGCTTCCAGCTATATATATATAGATTTGCCTTTATCTTGAATGGTTGTTCAAATCTCATGTAATGCCCTGATATCCCTCTAATAAATTCACTTTTTTGCCTAAGCCAGTTTGAGTTGGGTTTCTGCCACTTGCACCTAATGAGTCTCCTTGAAAACAGTAAAGCGATGTTTGGCCAACTATTTCTACTTACTTTCTGAATTGAAAATTAGCATGATATATGCTACCCAGTACATTTCTTAAAGCTGGACGTAATCTGTTTACACAATACTATACCTAGTCTGCCAAATGGTAGGCCATTTACATGCACTAGTTACAGGTAATGTCATTAACACCATTTTTTTTATAGATAAGGAAAATTTACACAAGATAATTCAGCCTTTAAGTTTGAGCTTAAGGGGGCCTCTTGGTGGCATAGGGGTTAAGTCTCAGCGCTATCAAGCTATTGCCAGCCTCTGCTGCATGAGTTCAATCACTGACAGGGAGCTGACCCAAGTGGCAAGTTGACCTATCTCACCCCCTTCTCCCCTCCAGAGTCTATTTTGTACATACGCCTGTTCTGCTCTTTACTCTGTCACTGGTGAATCCTCTTGAGACACAGGGTAAGTTAGGGTAATTAGGCAGTTTTAGGGACACTACAGGAGGGGACCTCGGAGAATTGAGGAAGGCTTCAGAGATAAGGGCAGCAAGAGGAATGTAACTAATTCTACCTGGAAAAACAAACATCCCAGGACCAAGGACAACATTGTTAATGCTGGCCTTGGTTTCCTTCAGGTGGTAAAGGGAGGCAGAGATTGGAGAAATGGAGAGTGGTTTAATTTATGGACAAATTAGAAGGGCAGCTGTTTAGCTTCAATGCAGGATGCTCATCCAGAGGACTGGGCCATAAAGATAAAGAAGTAACAAATGGGGAAAGACAAACCTGTTAGATAAGGAATGTGAAGATCCCCCACTCAGTAACAAATTAAGTGAAACAGCAGAGAACTATCCAATCACAAAGAGACTGGAGGAGCTTTACAATAATTAGGGAAAGAAGGTATATATTCCCTGAGACACGACTCCACTTTGGTTTACTTGCCCCTCCCAGGCCTGGTTTCCTGGCCTGGCAGTCCCACTTTATTTCTGTTCTTTTTCTCCTCAATAAACTTTTTCTTTCTCTAAACAAACCTGCCTCTTCTCGCTTGCCTGAGAGTCTGCGAAGTTCCTGCTGCGGCTTCGTGAGACACCAACCCGTGGTGGTCTAGTGGCTGGGTCTCAGCACTGCCTCTGCAGTCTGGGATCTGTTCCTGGCTGGGAGACTAGGCCTGACAATTCCGGTATCACTCTCACCCCCACACCTCTGGTCTGCACCCCATTCTTGTATGCATAAATAAAATAAAATTTTTTAAAAGCCTGACTTTAAGGTTTCAGTTTTTAAATTAGGCTCTCTAATAAGAAGTGCAGGGGCCTCCCCGGTGGCGCAGCGTTGAGCGCTGGGTTGCGAAGCTGCCCGCAACCTCTACAGCGCCGGTTCGATCCCCAACTGCTCCCTGGCCACCGGAGGAGGGTCCCGCATGGTGTGCAGACCTCTCCTGCCGCCCGCTGCTCCCCTCAGCAGTGTACTTCGGTCCTTCTGCGTGCTCTGCTCCCTGCTCTGGCTCTGGTGAATTCTCTCACCCTCCCGCGCTTCTGACTGTACCCAGTGCTTGAATAAATAAATCTCTAAAAAAAAAAAAAAAAAAAGAAGTGCAGTGGAAAAGGAAGGGATTCCTAAGATAAATTCAAATCAGGAAATGTATTGACGAAGTAATGTATATTCTTAGAACTGAGAAGTGTTTAGACACTACTAAGTAGCAATGTATTAATACTTCAACTGCTTGAGATACACTGATACAATAGCATAGTGGGTAAGAACAAGGGGTTAAGATTGCTCAGCAGGGGCCTCTCTGGTGGCCAAGGGATTAAGACTCAGCACTAAGAAGCTGTCCTGCAGCCTTAGCAGCAAGAGTTCGATCATCCCTCAGGCTGGCCAGGGAGCAACCCACATGGCGTAGCAGACCTCTCCTGACTCACCTGCTGCTCCCCTCAGCAGTGTATTTCAGTCACCCTGCCTGTTCTGTTCCCCACTCCGGTGAATCTTCTCACCCCCCGCCACTTCTGGCCTGTACCCCAGTTCTTGCATGCATAAGTAAATAAATCTTTTTTTTTTTTAAAAGAAAGATTGCTCAGCAGATCCTGCACCCTAGTGAGGCAAATGAGTTCCAGTCCTGCTCTCTGGATTCCAGCTCCACCTCAGACATTGCCTAAATTGCTTAATCTCTTAAAATTTAAGTTTTCTCTGTGTGTGTGTGTGTGTGTATATATATATATATATATATATATATGAAAGATAATAGAAATAGTTCTTGACTCATAAAACAATCTAGTATCTGGCACATAAGTGCTAAGTATTAACTATTCTCTGACTATACAAAATGTATGAAATTTCTAATACTATTATATGAAAGTCATTGTATCCCTTTTAAGGAGTACATTCTTTTTGTTTTTTTGGTTTTTTTGCATAGAAGAACTGGGGTGTAGGCGAGAGGTGCAGGGGGTGAGAGGATTCACCTGAGACAGTGGGGAGCAGAACAGGCAGATCTACTGAAATACACTGCTGAGGGGAGCAGCAGGGAGACAGGAGAGGTCTGCTGTGCCTTTTGGGTTAGCTCCCTGGCCAGTGATTGAACTATTGCTGCAGTGGCAATAGTTTGAGAGTGCTGAGACTTAACCCCTTGCACCATCAGGGAGGCCCCTATTCTTAATTTTTATTACCCTTAGCTCTATGGTATACAGAACTGAATCTACCCTACATAGCTGTACCTGACCACTCTGAACTTCGCTGTCCTCATTTAAAAATACAGGCCTCTATAAATAAATACACAACTGCACAGGGAAATCTCACCTATGTCCACATTTAAAAAATAAGAGAAGTGAGCCTCCGTGAAATTAACTTGTGACGTCACATCTAGAAAAAAATGAAACAAAAATGAATTGAGTACCTGTTCTATTATGTCTTGGTGGGCACTTTTACATATGTGTCACCAAATTACTAGAACACTACCAAGCCATCCTGTTTCTGTCATGGGAAACACACTTTCTGCACTCAGACTTGGAACCTGTCATCCATCCATAAAATCACCTTTCACATATGAAATAGCACAAAGTGCTGTGAAAAAAACGATTTTTTAAACAGCTTGTTGCCAAAAAAATATCAGGAAGCTTCTCTCTCTCTCTCTCTCTCTCTCTCTCTCTCTCTCTCTCTCACACACACACACACACACACACACACAAAGTGACCAGGAATGGTATTCACAAATTATATAATTTGATGTCCATGTTCACCCTTTGAGGAGATACTATTTCCATTTTATAGAGAAATCATAGGTCTGCCCTTTAAGTTTTACTCAGCCAGTAAAAAGAACAAAGAATCAAACCCACGTTCTGACTCTTTTAAGACTAAGTTCTGTAATGTTGTATATTGTAGGGTAAATGGTTTTCAGGCTTTTCTGCCCTCCCACCATCAGGAATGGCAGGTTTGATGGGGCACCTGCAATTGTTACACTGTTGTAAGCTGTCTTGTTTACTTCTGTGAGCCACCGGAGGAGTATTGAGATAGTCACCAAGAGAAGCAGAGGCAGGAGAAAGAAGCAAGAGAGAGAAGGGAAAAAAGAAGGCAAGAGAAGACCAGAGTGAAGATTTGCCGGGGGCTTGGGGGCCTGCCCGCCACCTGGCCCCCTCCCACCCCTGCCTGCCCTGTGCCTGGTTGCTGCACTACATGTAGGAGCTCACTGAAAGACACAGAGGACTCCAGGACTCCTCCTTTACCCAGACTGCCGGGATGCTAGATATCCTGCTCTGTGCCCATCCTGGCACTACAGCAAGTATGGTAGGAATTTCTGCATTGCTTGATGAAGTAACGTCTCTTTACTTGGTACAGAAATTACATCCTATATGAGGTTTTACCCGTTGGCTAAGTGACCTTGGATAAATTACCGTTTCGGGCCTCCACTCGCACAGCTAAGTAACAGGCTAATTCCGCACTGGACTATTGTGAGGATTAAACGAGCGAGTCTGACACTAGAGGGCGCTCGATGAGCGGTCGTTTTCTCAAGTAGGGCCACACCGCCCGCCTTTTTTTCTTTTTCCCTTGCATAAACACAAGAGGATCCAGCAAGACAAGAATGATAGACCCGGCTAGCTTCAGCTGCAACCAAACTCACGTGTACAAACACCTTACAAGACCCCACCATAGTTCCCAGAGGGATGCTCCCTCACTTCTCTGACCCCGTGCCGCCAACCAATCCTCACAGAAACAGCCCTGCTTTCCCCGCCCTTCCTGAGAGGACTCGTGCCGATGACGTCACATCCACTTCCGTTTTTGAAAGGGCCGCTTTTCAATTTCTTAGGGCGCTCTAGGCTGCCGCCTCGCCGGCTGGCTCCAAACTCAATGGTTTCTGGGCGGGGCCGTGACGTCCTTGGCGTGGCAGCCGGGGAGGCCGCGGCGGGGAAAATGGCGGACGGGAAGGCGGGAGAGGAGAAGGCTGAGAAGCCGCAGCGAACTGCAGCCGCCGGAGGTGAACACAACCCCAGCGTCGCGGGCTGCGTGGGATGCGCTGGGCCTTTCGTTGAGCTCCCCCGGGTGGGGGGAGTTGGGTGGAGTGAGAATGGGCGAATCTGGCGCCCACCCGGCTAGGTGCTGGGCCCAGACGAGCCCTGGGCACGCCCGGTGCGGCCCGCTGGGATCCTCTGGGATCCGGGCCCACATTTCTTCTTGCCGGGGGGGAGCCTACACTGCTCGTCACCTCCTGGCCCCAGCGGAGGCATTACTTCCGAGAAGGGAGATGGGCAGCAGAAAGAGGGGCCGAACTAAGGGTGGGACCGGCAGCGGCGGTGCCGAGCCGCGGCCGCCACCCCGGAGGCGCACTTCACACAAAACCCGCGCACGCACTGAGCGGGCGCCGCGCCCGGGCCCCCGGGGCTGGCCGGAGGCCGAGTTTCCGACGGTGCCGGCCTCTCACTTACACCTAGGAGTTAGTTACGTTCGCTGCTCTCCTTTCGTTGAGGAGGTGGACAACCCGGACCTTTTTTCTTTATTTTCAAGCCGAACACCAACCCTCGAGCAAGATCATGGCTCATGGCAAGGGAGGGGAAAGAGAAATGCCTTTGCCTGCCTGCTGGTTTAGGCTGCGGGGTCTGTGGTTAGGGAGCGATTGTCTTTCTTTGAAGTATCTGCCTTTCTTGAGTTAGACTGTTCACAGCTCCCTTTTTCCCCGCTGTTTAATGGTTAGATAGGCTAACGTGAGTCTTGTATTTTTGTCACGACGTAGAACGAAGATAGTTATACATTACATCTATTTTTTATTCCTCCCCTTCATCCCTATAAATTTGGTTTTTGTGCATTAGGGAAAAGGCACATCATGTAATCTCTCCAGCTCCCCCCTCTTGTCGTGTAAGGCAAGTTAACTTTATTAGCACGTGCGAACTGATCATAATTTCTTCAGATTATGATTTTTTCAAAACGTGTTAGGTATTACTCTCTTACAAGTCCCTCGAGTCTTATCTCTGAAAATATTTAACATGAGAAATGCAGGTTCTTAGCTGATGACAATTAGGACCTACTAATGTGATATTTAATGTGAATTGCCTTGGGAGCCAAATCGAAAGAATGTAATGTTAATATATTTTGGGCCAGAATTTCCTTTTTAGAAAACATAATTGAGCCAAACTCACCCTCCTTCCTCCATCCCCCCTACCCCTTAACTAGTAAAATAGCTTATCAACAGCAGTTTGAACTATTTAGTACTACCTCATTAAGGATTTTTTTCCCCTCAAAAATTGTGTGGAAATTGTCGAGGATTAAGTTAAAATGATTAGATTGAGGGGGAAAAAGGTGTAAAGATTTTTATCGGATTTTAGATTATCTTTTAACTTTTAGATTGAATTGTTAACTATCTTGACAGATGTCTTTAATGTGCAGCAAAAATCTATCTTGTCAGTAAAATTTCTCTAATATATCCACCATCGTTTCAGTTAGAGGTATTCTGTAGTCTCAACGTTCTGTTATAGCATGTAAAGAAGGGGGAGGCATAAGATTATCTTTGCTGATCGCTGTCAAAGATTGTTACGTCTTCTCCTTGGTAACTTAAAATAAGCAATATCCCCAATAACTGCTACATAATTTGCCTTTCTTTACAATAAAATAGTACAAAGGAATCAGAATTAAAAGATTTAGTACTACAGGTATTGTTAATTTCATGATTAT